AGTCCAAAAATAACACACACAAGACCTGAATCATGCCTACAGTCAGATACCTCATCCAACACTCGTAGAGCTGCAACTACTGTATTGATTATTTTATTAATGATTAATCTACTGACTACTTTCCTGATTGACTTCCATCAGGTTTACATTTACTGTTCTTAGTTTTCAATCCATGTTTTCATATTGACTACAATGGAGATTTGGTCTGAGACAGCATACAATTTCCCAAGAGATTTTCCCATTAATGGTAGTTTTAGTCATTTATGTGTTGTCTATACACATGGGTTGGCCAACAGTGTGTTGTTTTTGGCTCTGGAGTCTCCACGTGGAAACTGCACTGTGATGACAAGACTCCGGGTCACTGCTCACTGTAATAGTCAGACACATAACTCCCTATAAAACCACACACTGTCATTTATACAATTCGTTTCTTGTGAGGTACTGGTAGATGAATTTTTTTTTAACCTTTGGAGAGAGCCAGGCTAGCTGTTTCCAGTCTTTGTGCTAAGCTTAGCCGAGCTAACTGTCTCCTCGCTTTAGCTTCATATTGAACAGGCAGACATGAGAGTGGTATTAAACTTCTCCCAAAATGTAAAACTATTCCTTTAAGGCCAATTAGGCTCTGGTAACTTTGAGATTGGTTAGTTAGTTACTGGGCCAAAGTCCATTAAAAGGGTTAGGGTTAGAGTAGTTCAATCTGTCAGAAGTAGTGAAAATGGGAATGACAAGTTCTCAGAACCCAAAGTAACATTTTCAACTTGCTTGTTTTGGTTCTTTAAACCAAATATATCTAATTTTCAACTTTATAAACCAGAAGAATGACAGGGATTCCTTTCTTTTTAGTATACAGAAGCAGTGAATGTTAATGTCAATTAGAATGGCATTTCTGCTTGATAAAAAATCAAAAAACATTAACTGATTATCAAAATTGTCAGTTAAATTCACGTAGATCAATTAATAGACAGTTGGTTCAAATACAAATAGTAACAGTAACATACAGTACACAGACAACACAAACTACAGGATTCTAAAAAGGCATTGCTCAAACACAAGACACACACAGATCCAACTGTTGCTGTAATTATGTTGCATTGTTGCTCCACCAATTATTTAAAAGGTTGAGATTACTGTTTACAGGTCAGATGATTGTTTTAATTATGTTTTTACTCAGCTAGATTACTGTTTACAGGTCAGATGATTGTTTTAATTATGTTTTTACTCAGCTAGATTCATTTATCACAGTTGAAATAACTTCTATCACAGGGTATGAATGTTGTTCTCAGTAAGAATCAGAAACCCGCAGACTGAACTGTCAGTCATCAAAGAAGATAACATTTTGTGCTCTTAATTTGTAAGAGCCACAATTTTCACTTAAATAATGCATGAACCCTGTCCACTCAGACTTTTGAAAGTCATAAAGATCAGGGAAGCAATGTTCTTTCTACTCTAGAAGCTCAATAACTTTAAAATAGGCCATTTCTTTCTTTAACTCAAGTTACTTTTAAAACATTGACTTTTACCAGAGAGAAGTAGCTAGTATTAGTAAGTAACACTGTAATGCTAATACAGGACAGGAAAAATTGATGGCAACACTACCCAGCCATTAATGAGTCACACAGTTGTAGGAATGGACACCACAACCTTTAAATACACACACAAACTTAAAATAATAATTATCACGCAGAAGTTCAGACACAGACAGACACACACACACACAGGCTTTACAACCTACACGACATGCTGAAGAAGAGGAACCGGCTGTAGCAGACACAGAGGCATTGACAGACCCACTCACTGCTGACCATCTCTTGCTTTCAGCTGTCCTTCCTTCCCCTCCATCACCTCCCTCTCTATCTCCCTCTCCTCACCTGCCTGCCTTTCTCCCCTCCTCCACCCAGTAACGGTATCATCTGTCATCTTCTCGTAACCCACACCCTCCAGGCAGCAGCAGCGCAGCGAGCATCTCCAGCTAATGTTTCAAAAGGTCAGGTTTGTCTGCAGGCTGCAGGCCTAATGCCACTTACACACACAAATATTACAGCAAGCCGTTCCATGTGCATCTCTCGTTCAGAATGAGCCTTGAACATACAGAATCTCAAACGAGCTATGAGATTAAAGTTTCACTCAAATAAATGGATGTGTTGCGTTCACTGAAGAGTTGACATTTGACCTGGCAGCCAAGGGTCAAGCACTAAAGATGCAGTTTAGGATTATTCTCATTCTCAATGTAGATCTGACTTTTTTGTCAACTACTTCTGCCAAGGTCAAGAATTCAGTTTCAAGTAAAATTTTTAAAATCACATGCACGAAACCTCATTAAAGTTCTCAGAAAAACTTCACCTGTTGAAGAGATTTGTGTGATATGACTGAAAGCTCCCATACAGCTACTAAATGGACTTTGTGGTGACATTTTTGTCAACTACAGTTTTTCCAAGGTAAAAAATCCTATTAAGAATCTCTTTCTTCAGTTAGTCAATTAATTATGTACTCTATTAAAGTTTTTTTCTAATTTAAGTATTTGCCTTAAAATAGGCGCCTTTATTTCTATATACTGAATACGGAATGATGTGAAACAGAAACATTAAAGCAATTCTTCACCTTTGTGAAGCTGTTATGAGCACCTTTTGGGTTTATTTACTTGATTAATGACACATTATTTCAGTACTGGAGTAGAATTAGACATGGGTCTTTTCCAAGCAGGTCATTTCACACTTACTGTACGACAGTAAGTGTCTTTTTGACTAAGCCAGTATGAAAATAGGTACAAGAATGATCACAAACAGTGTTATGTGGAAGGTTGTTGGTGGGTTATCTACCACAATCTGCAGTATTTACTCTGTACTCCAATGTGAGAACAATACTGAGGACAAAAGGTCAGGTTTTGACCTTCTTACCACTAGGGGGGGCAGGCACACCTATCCGTAGGATAGGTAGGAGAGAGGAAACAAAGGGAATGACACACACCAAAATACATGAGGGAATTGCCTCTTTTTCTGTGTTTCTATTAATATGTTTTCTACAGTGTGTGCGTGTGTGTGTGTGTGTGTGTGATAGCGTTGGTTCCCCTTTACACACAGATTGTATCTCCTTACGTAGCTGGAGTCACTGCTGTATCATAGCGAGCTGGTAGCATTAAGGCGACAGGCTAATCTAATATCTGTCGAGTGTGTGCCTCCTTCTCTTGTGTATTTGTGCACTTGTGTTTGGCTGCTGTCACTCGAGCCTCTTTGTTCCCCCGTCCCGTGTTATTAGGCAGATGAAAAGATCTGCTCTCTAGCACGGGACCCAGGGGAGATCTTCTCAATGACTCATACTAATTAAGAGGCCTGAGGGGACTGCAGAGGGAGACACACTGCTGCTGCTGCTGCCTGAGTGATGACTGGCAAGCTGTGTACTCACTCTGCCTCTCAGTCTCTCATTCTGTCAGTCCCCAATTTATATTTGTCTGCCTTCCTTACAGACATATGTATACACACGCCCGTACACACACAACAACAATTCTATGTATATTCACTTTAGCAAGAAGTCTTTAAATGGACCTTTTTTCCCATGGGACATATTTTCTCTTGTAGCAGGAAAAAACATTATTAATGTTATTAATTACAATCTTTTTAAATTACATGTCAAAATGTCTGAAGTGAAAAAAAGTCTATATGTAATTGGTTACAGTGCATCTTTGTCAATTTTCAATTGCACTTTGACAACTAGTGTCACACTTGAAAGGCTAACACAGTAAGTCAGCATTTGCATCCAGTTATAGCTGTAATCCAGTTCCAGCTATAATGTCTGGCACCGCTCTGACCCTCCTATTAGCTGTGTTGCATCTATCACTCTAGTTTCACGCTTTAACCCGAGCAGGGGTCTATACAGGAGCACATGTAATGTTTCTTTTATTTCTTGTAGTTGCTGTTGTTCTTAAATTGTGAAACTACTAGGAAGGAAATTTCTATACATCCATTGCCACCAGTACTACTACAACTATTACTACTACTGATACTGTAGGACAGCTACTACTACTACTACTGATGCTAAGCTTTCAGTCACTAGACATTTAATCAGGGCAAATATTTGACAGATGGGAAGCCTCGAACTAGAATGACATCACACAAAGCTTTGAGGTGCAACATGGTAAATGTAGTTCACAACTGTAGTTTTGTTTAGTTTCATTTTTAAATTTTCTCTGTATTTGTATTTACTGTCCCTCTCTTTCAAGTTACCATTGTGTTGTGAGTGTGTTGATATTGTCACAAATACAGATCATTGCAAACCTTCAACAATCAATAAATGATCTTGTCCAAGCTACATTGTTAACCTTAGTATGACTAGCTCTGCCACTGATCAGTTTGTCAGTTTCAGTGCATACACACCTACTGTATGTTGATCTACATGTAGAAGTTGCACAACTTCAGTGGCTGTGTCGCCTTCTTACTCTAATGTGAGTTTAAAAACTCTATTGTTTGGTAATGACCTTAACTGAAGCCCCGTATGGAAGGGAGTTAGGATACTGTTAGCTCCATCAGGGGCTTCCTGCTGCACTCTACTGCATTATTGATATGGCTGGATTTATAAACAGGCTGCATCAAGAATCTAAGTGTGTGACTGTCATCTCTGACAAGTCTCTCTCTTTTTACTGTTATGATAAAGGTCAGTTTACCTGTCCCAAAAATGACAATCATTCAAGATGATGATAAGCATTTTATTTGCTCACATGAACTTTTCCCAAGTTGTGTTTGTAATGTTTGTTCAATCTGCTTTTTGAATTGGCAATATGTGAAGCTGAGGGGCAGGTGGGTAACAAGTGTGTGAGCTTTTCCTAAAATAAGGAAATTATCCATTATAGGCTACTTAAGCATTATTCCAAGTGTGCCATGATCGTGTGATAGACTGAGGGGAGACACACCTCCATCCTGTGCACTGAGAACGTTGAGGGCAAAGAGCATGGCGTTGGAGAAGGTGGTGGCCTCCTCCTTGCTGGCAAAGTTGAGGCCATAGACCTGCCTGGCATCCCGCCACTGGTGAAAGGTCGGTGTGGCTTGGTTGTACTTAAGGCCCTTCACTATGGAGTAGTTGATAACCACCTGTGAGAGCAGAGAAAGAGGAGAACAGATGAGAAAAGGAGCTGTAGTTTAAGAATTGCAAAAAGATTTTTCATTTTGGATGCCCATTCTTCTTTGTTTGCAGATGGCAGGCTGGGGAGAAAAATACAACATGATCGCTATTCTCATAACTCTGTTGTGTTCCTGGCAGAAAAAGACTTTTTAAATGTCACAGAATTGATGGCTGTGTGTTTGAAAGGATTTAGTGATTTGTGTTGTGTCACTGGTTCAACAAAATTGCATTGCAAGGAACTAACTATCCATCCATCCATCCATCCATCGCCAACCGCTTATCCTGTGTACAGGTTCGCGGGGGGCTGAAGCCAATCCCAGCTGCCATCGAGCAAAAGGCGGGGTACACCCTGGACAGGTCGCCAATCCATCGCAGGGCCACACATAAACAAACAACCACTCATGCTCACACCTAAGGACAATTTAGGGTCACCAATCAACCATGTCTATCATGTCTTTGTATGGTGGGAGGAAGCCGGAGCACCCGGAGAGAACCCACGCAAACGCAGGGAACATGCGAACTCCACACAGAAAGGCCTGGGACGAGCGGGGTTTGAACCCACGACCTTCTCGCTGTGAGGTGACAATTTTGGAGTTTATTTCATATTTAATGTTATGTTTTTGGCTATCTTTGTCGATTCTGTTTCTGATTTACTGTTGCATGTGATCAACACAATATCATTGGAAGCAAGTGTGTTTTGTTTCTTATCACCAACACACACGCAAACACATAAACACACTTAAGAGAGCTGAGTACTAATGAGACATTGCCTTTGGAGAGACTGACAGAGAGGAAGAAGGTCTCAGCAGAGAAGGATTAGCGCTACTAAAGACCTTTAATGAAACACTAGGGTTCATGCACACGCACAAACCCAGACAGAGGCTTAGCCCAACATAAGATATAAGGCTATTAACTTTTTCCCCATTAAACTCTCCTTCAGTCACAACAACTATTTGGTCTTGCAAGTTACTTGAAAAGAAACCCCACAGTCACAATCCAAAATAGCCTGAATGTTCTGTATATTGCTGTCCTCCCACAGCTCGATGAAATCTCTCCCTCTAGTGACTAAATGGCTGAAATTAACTCCATATCTACACTTATATCCCAGCAGCATGAAGTCATCTTCTGTCCGTTACCTGCTGGTCCTGCAGTTTGACGCCCACCACTCTGAAGGTGTTGTTGGCAGTGTTGTGGTAGATGTTGATGCGGCTGAATCCCTGCTGTCCAGGCTTGATGGGCACCCACTTCTTACTGGTGTCATCGTAGACCATGACGGAGGCCCGTGCCTGGCAGATACTCTGCTCACTGGGAGTGAGAGAGAAGGACAGAGAAGAGGGAGAGAGAAACAACTGATATAAGGAGAAATCCAGTAGTAATCCTCAGATACTTTTTGATATAATAAATTTATAAACATTCACATTCTTCCACGAGTTACTGACTTCTCGATACGCACATTTCCCATCAACCTGCGACATCTATCTCAAAGTCAGTTTGCAATTTCTTCGAAATACAAACAAATACTACCACATTTAGCTGTGTGGTATACAGCTGTGTATTGTACATGAAAGTAGAGGAAGCATCAGTGACTTGTGGCTGAACTTATAGAGTTACTGTTTGTAGAGAAAGTCTAGTTCTGGTGAAAGTCTGGTTCTGGTGCTAACAATGGACTTTTCCCTGATATTCAAAATGTTTTAGATGCACCTGTATAATTATGGCATTCCTTCTACGACACATCCTGTGTATATTGATTTTTTTTATGTCAGTGCAAAATGATGTTTAATGTTTCGGACAGCTGCATTTTGTAATGTCACTTTGATACAGAAGGGTATGCACAGCCTATATTTAGTCAGTAACATTTAAACCATTGGTTCCCAATTGAAGGGTTGGACTTGGGACCTCCCAAGGGGTCGCAAATCAAAAAGACAGGGAACCACTAGTTTAGACGAGTCTTGATCAAACAAGCAAAAATTAAATCAGTGCGAGTCAAAACATTGCCTGTTCAGTCTAATATAGTTCAGAAACTACAGTATAGTCCAGTGTGCAGATCTGGCCAGATATGTACATGAAATGCAAAGTAGCCAGTCAACAAAACAGTTCAAGAAATATAAGACTGATCACTAATACTATTTTTAAATGCACTTTTAGGCTCAGATTTTCCTTTAACAGTAGTGACTGCTGCGTATTTGTCTGAGAATGTAAGTGAGATCATTACGGTGAACAAGGCAACTACTCAGTCTAATCGTGTGTTACACTAATGTTATAAACCAAATGTAATCAAGCACTTGTCCAGCATCTGTTGATGTTCTTAATGTGAGGCGAATGTAATTTGTGTGTGTGTGTGTGTGTGTGTGTTTGTGTGTGTGTGTGTGTGTGTGTGTATGTGTGTATGTGTGTTTGGCCTGCAGTGTTGAGTCTGCCTGCTCTCCCTTTTGACTGCGTTTATCACAGCCCACTGAGGCTCTCTCCACTTTCCCTCAATGTAACACACACACACACACACACACACACACACAGTACACAGTACTGCCCCATTACAAAAGCTGTGTTTCATGACCTTTTCCACATGTCTTACAGACAAAAGGCACCTGCTGAATCGCTGGGGAGAGAAGGGGAAAAGAGAAGATCACGGTGGAAGCATGTGGGGAATGAGGAGGAAAAACACAACGAAGGAACAGAGAAACAATTTTGACTTGCAAATTAGATTAACAAGAAGAGTCTCATCTGTGTCTTTGCCTCTGTGCCAAGCTAAAATTAGTGGATCAACCCCTGAGGCTGAGTGAAAGAGCTGCGTCAGAGAAGAGAAAAAAGATAAAAAGGGAAAAGTCTAGGCTTGCTGTGTGTGGATACGACATAAAGTACAGTGAGAGACAGTAGTGCATCATGCATCGGGATAAGGATGATATTTAAGGGATATTATAAAAGTTCGACGTGAGAAGATTGATACCACTCTCACATCTGTACACTAAGTCCAGGAGCTGGGGGCGGGAAAGCCAATAAGCCAATATCCCAATATATCAAAACCATTCTTTGTAGAGAGGGAGAAACTTTGATGCAGTGATATTTTGTAATCCCTCTGCGGGAATATTTACTCCATTCTGGATAGAAATTACTTTTCTACAATTATTTAATAGCATCTCTCACTGAAACATACAGGATAAGGAATGCTCAATGCAAGGTACTGTGCCTGACTTGTGCACACATAGGATCGAATAGCAACGTATTTATCCTTTCTGAAGACAAGCATTCATGAAGAGAAAGCACCAGGCTAACACTAGGATAAAGAAAATGATAATAGCTTTCCTTTTCTTTCACTTCAAAGCGCACTGAAAGGAGAGCAGCAGGAAGCAGCTGAAACTTGCAGGACCAGAAGCCATAGAAATAACACAAAAAAACACATGAAAAAGCTCCATATAACACACTGCTGCATGCATTTTAAGCTGGAGGTATAAATAACCTTCTCTCAGGTTCAGTCTTACTCTCTGCACATTAGCGGTTTTGATGTGCACACACTTGAAACCAGCCTGAGCACCAGCAGGGCAACGATGTGTTTAATTTATTTTCTTTAACTTGTCGACTCTGTTAATTTTTAAAAAGGAGTTCTTGGCAACTAGCTGAAAATGGCATCAAGGGCCCAGAAGCATGAATAAATGAGGCTCTTGTGCTAAAAGAGACTCGAGCAAGAAAAACGGAGGAGACGGGGAGAAGGAGACGAGTGGTGGAAGGAAAAGAGAAAGAGGGAGATAGGAGCTGTGAAGGAGCCGAGGCAACAGGAAAACAAGTTTTCCTGACTGACAGTTATGGGACGCGCACAAAACACACACTCACGCGTGCATATGCACACAAATACAGAAATGTAGTGTAGATCGCTCCCACGTCTCACCTGTTGAAAAATTAACAATTCCTCGCGGGACATGAATAAATCAGATGCTTCTGAATTTACCTTATTGCACACACACACACACACACATATATATATACACACACTTAAATGCCATCCTCCTTGGTCTGTTCACGACCAGTCTGCACTACAGTAAATTCAAGCTGACAGGGACAGAAAGAGAAATCTCAGAGAGCTGCTCAGGAATCATCTTCCACTGAGTCACTTCAACAGAAAAGGTCCAATCACAGAGCAGGATGATTGGTGCAGGGGGATCATGAGAGTGTAAAAGGTGCTCACTCACTATTAAAGCCCTGTCTTTTATTTTTAAATTTTGCATGATGATGCAACATTTTGGCTAGGCTCTTATAAAACAAATCTTACATTAATTCCAGCTGTATAATTGCATCCCTCAATGACTTTACCATTACCTTGATAGTGCATGCCGTTTCAGGTCTGCAATTGCTGACTGTGATGGTTTTGAAGAAGAAGATTTTCAGTCTCAAACTACTGAACTCAAACAACACATGCAGTATAAAGTCAGTCCAAACCGTTAAATGAGGATCCCTCGATGCATTTTACAGTTCGATTTGTAGCTTTAATGACTTTAACACAAAATGATGCTATAATTATTCATATGTTTTGCTGTGATTTCTCAGCATCAAACCTGTTAAGTTAATGGGTCAGCGTGTCTGTCTGAGGTCAGATTAATGAGGGGCTATAATAATAAACTCATGCATTATTCATCTTCTGCTGCATGTTTGCAGGGTTGAAAAGAATAATTATTGCCCTTTTTTCAGTTTCATCTCCCTCTTCCAAACCTATGCACACATACTCATGCACAAACTGTCCACACACAGCAGCCCCATTAAGTTAACTCCTTTGTGTCCCAGGTCATCGCAGGGTTAATGGGATGCCTGTTTCACTGAAACTTAAACTCCTTGCACCATTGTTTGCTTTTCTCATTTCTCCTCCCTCACACCCCAAATTAAAAATTAAATGTTCCATTTCCCTTCAGTCTACAGTGCGCAGGTCAGATGTAAGTATTTCAAGTATTTTGCATTTCCTTCATCACTGATCATGTGAACAGTCTGCTCACACCTGGACCAGTCACGCCGTTGGTTCACTCTAACCGGCAGCGTCAAATTGTCACAGTGCTTCGTTCCGCTCTCTGATCCCTGATGAACAGCACAACCATGAGCTGTCAGAAGACAGGGATAAACTCACAGAGGAAACCCAGGTAGAAAAAAACACACAGAGGAGGGAGAATTGTGGTTGAAAATATACACATAAGAAAACCCTGAAGCATGAAACATAATTAGCACTTTGATCGTCTCTTCTGCTGATGAATTGCCAAAGAGGGAGGTGGAATTTAAATTTAGCAGAATAACTGCTTGATAATGTCATTTTTGAAAACAGAGTATAGGGGGAAATTTCCACATTATGTATTCCTGTTGTGTGTATTTGTTTTCCATCTGGGATGTATTTAGAATTTAATTTAAACTGAGTGTGAATGTTTTACTTTCTGAGCAGTTTTTATTCATTTTTTGGTGTTTTTCTATGAATCAGCACCAGCAAGAGTGCGAGTCAGTTAGTGACAAACTTAATATCAGTAGCTGTGAGTCAGTTATGAGCCCTCTGTAACATTATGTAAAGTGTATTACTGTCACTCCATTCCCTCATGATCATTTGTGCTACTCTGTGTGTGTGTGTGTGTGTGTGTGTGTGTGTGTGTGTGTGTGTGTGTGTGTGTGTATAGCTGTGTCAGTCCTGGTCTATTACACTAATCTGTGCTGTTAGAGGGCCTTGTATACGTCTCGGTCTCCGTCCACACAGCAGGCAGGCTGCAGCGCTTACACCACCCTGCAGACATCACAACATCAAAGCTATTGTGCTGCTCCACTTTCTGGGGCCTCCGTGCTAAAGGCAGCGGTGCGCTAACAACAAAAAAGGATCTGCCCAAAATAGAAACGCAGACACACACATCACTGGATGCAAATTTGAATATACACTCACAGTACAGATTCATATTGCACTACAAAGGTAATCAAAGCGTAGGTGGTGAGTAAAAGTCAAGCCAAGGCCCAAAACAATTTAGTTTAAAGTAAATTAAAAAAGTAAATTCTGTTTCTCCAGATGTGTTTTAAATCTTATTAAATCAGTCTCTGCAGCAAGTAAACTA